GTTTTCCAGCTGAGAAAACACCGACAAACGCTTAGCCTCTAGCAGTCCAAGGTGCAAGAAAAAATATACGAATGAGTGTAGAAATGGCAGAAGCGAGGGAAAAAGATGAAGCAATTCACGTAAAATTTAATGTCACACAAACCCAAAAGTGAAAGTTGTATTTGGACAAAAAGACAGAGGGGCAAAAAGAAAACACAAAAAACCGAGTGAAAAAATGATGTTGGTGTAGTTAGAAAATTACTTTTACTTAGTGCCATTGAAGGACGACGGGCAGCTGCTCCCCAAAGAATATTCAAGAGTTGTTCCACTTTCAGCTATGTGGAAATAGTTGCTCGCTCTCTGGTGCTGCATTGTTTTCCCTGTGAATACTTAGGTGTTCAAGGACCACTAAGAGTCCACAGAGATACCAAGGGAAAGAGACAGAGGGAGAGAGAGAGAGAGAGTTGTGCGCAGGAGATGGCACACATGTTATGCGAAAGTTTGTGATATTCGAAATTTAAGGAATGCAAAAAGGCCCGCAACGGGAAAAACTTCCGTTGCCACATTTAATATAAATTGGAAGGCGCCTCAAATTGAATTATTCGCTGCAAGTGCCAGTGTCTATGTCTGTGATGTCATATATTTGATGTCATTATTTCAGGCATACTCGTATGCATAGTCTCTGAGGGTTCAGGGCGCATAGTTCATGGTTCGGTTTGGGTCAAAGCCGAGAATGTCTCATCAGACTGTCGCCCCAGAAAAAGGAGAGCAGAAAGAGTGACATAATGTGATAAATGATGATTTTATAATCGTTTGCATGACAACTAGCCATCCAAGCGACCCTCCAGGAACCTCCTTCTTCTACTTCTAGGGGGCAGAGTGTCCGTTTTCCTTAGTCAACTATCCCTTGGCCGACATGTTTCTGTCAGCCTCAGCCTCAGCTTCAGCTTCAGCTCCAGCCTCAGCTCAAGTGACAAGGCCCCGGGCCCTGTTCGTGGCTGAGCCTGAGCCTGAGTTTTGCATGTAACGAGAATTTTCGGCTTTGGTAGGACACTGGTCCAACGCTGCTCTTCCACCTGCTGGCAGAAGAGCAGCCCTTTTGCCAACGACTATTTTCATTTGCGCTTCCAATTTCAAAATCCCCCCTCCTCGCTCTGCCCTGCTGTGCTCTGCTCTGTGAGTGTCCCTAGCAGTTGGCAATTGTATTTCCTGTAGGTCCTGCAAAATGATAAATTATCGTTTGTCTACTTTCTGATGCAATCTGATGTCGTCTGCTGCTGTGCACGAGAGCCTTACCTTTCCCTTTCCCTTTCCTCGAGCACACCCACATCTTATTCATTTTTTGATTAATTGAATTTCACATTGGAGACAAATAGAAAATGAAATGGAAATTTCTATTTGCCTGCCAGCTGTTGCGGCCAACTGTTTGTTGTGACAAGTTTTGTCGCTTCCAGTTTAAAATTGAATTATGGCCTAGAAATACACATTTGATGATCACATCAGAGTGCAATGCTGGGGAATGTTCCCCCCCTTCCCTTACAGAAACCTTTTGAATGTCTTTATATAGTCGTATCTTTATCTGCTGAGATTCGACTGCCCATAAACGGAGAATGTCTCCATCAATGCCAGCACCATTATCGTTGCATTAAAGTGCATTTTAAAAGTAGAGCCAATAAATATTTACTTGGCTGCATGGATGATGCTGATGGGCGAGGGCGTGGCTCCCATATCGTAATTGCAGATAAACTTTATGCCATTAACCTTACGCGTTGTCTAGTCGTACGCCACAGTTTCAACCCCCACCCCCCCTCCTGTGCCCAGTCCCGTGGCCCACTCTTTGCGTTGCAAAGTGCTTTTGAAACATTTCATGATAAGCATTTTACTCCTCTCTCTCTCTCGCTCTCCCCCTCTTAGCCAGTGCCGTCAACAACTTTACATTTGCTCTCTGGTTTTTCTCTCTTTCTCTTTCTGTAGATTCTCCTGGGTATCCTCCTACTAACGAAGAAATATGCTGAAAGTCAGAGATGGCCATGGCCGTTCCTCGTGCTGCTGCTCCTCCTCCTGCTGCCACATTAAACTTGCGCGCAAACATCGGCAAAATGCATTAAACTTGGTAAATATCGTAAAAATTAATGACAACATTATGTGGCAGTCAGCGCTCCCCCCTCGATCCCTGGGGCTGCTTCTCTATGGCTGTGTGTGTGTATGCCAAGTTCAAACTATAAATTTTGACAGTAACCAAAGCCAAAACAAGTTAAATACTTTTAGTTTGAGGTTCAGAGGCTCAAAGGCTCAGAGGCTCAGAGCCTGCACTTGATTGCCCAGTTCTTTTCAATGGTAATTGGAATTGTGATTAGTTTTCTGCGAAAATTGTTGCGTAAGTGGACGATTATGCAGATCTGAGTGATCTCCAGCATGAGTGAGCGGAGTGAAGTGTGTGGGCTGCGCTTCTTTTCGCACTCTTCACAAGTTATCCGTGGGAAAATCAGGACAGTATCCGGGGCAAAGGCAAACACACTCACAAACACACAGGTCCTGTCCCGCAGGAAATGACAGAAAAAGCTCCTCACTGTGCTGCTGCTGCTCTTTGCTGTTTCGTGCTGTGCTGATGTGCTGATGTGGAGTGCCCTGCCATGAGTTTCAACTGTTGGACAGGAACTGTGAAATGCATTTGCGCTGCTGCTGCCTGTTGACATTCGTACAGTGAAACACAAGTACAGTGTGTGCGCAAATTTAAGGAAATTCAGAGCTAGAGAGAGCTGCTGATGATGATGCTGATGCTGATGGCTGGCTGGCTGGCCCATGTCCTTGGCCACTATTCGGGGGGGTTTGGCTGCTTGTATGTTTAGCGCCAGCATAAACAGTTGTAACAGTTGGCCCTACAAGGCCTTGCACAGCCTGCACTACAGCCTGGTACTGGTTCTGCTTCTGCTTCTGGTCCTGGTCGAATCCAACTCTCAGCCAAACGGTAATTACATAACAAAAGTGCATACAAACAAAGGCTGGCAGCTGACCAGATCACACCACAACAACAGCAACAGAAGCAGCAACAGCAACACAATACAACAACAGAGCGGAAGAGCAGAAGCAGAACCCGAACCCAAACGAGAGGCCAACAACGTGCCTACATCTGCATGTGGGCCAGCACTTAAATGAGTTATACAAATAATTATGCCGTGATTACGAGAACATTCCACTGACCACGTCGACACAAACAAACTCTCTCTCTCTCTCTCTCTCTGTGTGTGTGTGTGTGGACAATGTCCATGTGATGAGAGGAAAAGAGTAAACATGCCAGGCGGCCACACACACAAAGAGCATAGGGGAAAAAATCGCCACTGAATGAAAGATACTTTGTGCAAATAGAAACAGCAGCAAAGCAAAGCAAAGTAAAAGTTAATCAGCTATTGACAGAGAGTGCGACGAAATCTCCGACTACTGCCTTAAGGATCATCATAAATCCGCGCTCATATGTCGGATAATCGGATAAGTCGGAGGTCATTTCACGAGCCAAATGACGCATACGCACTGTGTGCCCCGGCCTCGTTTCGCAACACAATTGTCCGTAAACATTGCAATTTGTAACAAGCCGCAGATACGCATGAACGCATACAGTGCGTAGCATGAGTGTAGATTAATCACAGAAACAGCTCTAAAATATTGAATGCATTTCTGTGTTGAGTTCAGATTTTAATTTATTTTTAATATTTGTTCTATAAATTTGACCCACTTAATCTTATAATTTTGTGACGCACTGTTCAGTGCGAGAATCGGGGCTGTAGCAGAATTTCAATTTCAACCGAAACCACCATTGGCCTTTGCTGTTCCTCTCCGTTCGAGCTTGAGTTCGAGTCCGTTCCCTCGTTCGAGTCGAGTCGAGTGGAGTCGCCGCCATGACCAAAGGCGTGTGATTTATAACTAATTGATGAACACAATCATGCAGTTGATGGGGCCACATGGCCCCCAAGTGGGTGGGCTGCTTGGATCGCGTACAGTTGTGCCCAAGGTCACAATGTTGCCTCAAGGTCTCGTCGACGCTCTTCTGGCTGGTAAGAAAAGAAAAGTGATGCATTGAAGCGTTTCGCTTGAATAATTTGTGCCCATAGCCCATGTTTATTATGTACGAAAAACGAGGAGAAATTTCAGAGCTATGGCATGGAGGTGGCTATGGGTGCCGTGGCGGGGCATGACTGTGTGGGGTTCACGCTTAAATGGCGTGCACACGCATTTCCATTTCCGCTTTTTTGGTAATCAATTCGAAATTCGGTTTTTATGTCGCTCCTTTTGTGGTTGTTGTTGCTTAGCTTTTGTTTTTAATTGATGAATAAATTTAATTGAACTAAATGGATTTTGGGGGCATTTTGCCTAATGGCTTTACGATCAGCCACACACACGCCACACCTCCCCCTCTAATGTACACGCACTCACTAAACCCTTTTGCTGCTCTAACGAGGCAGCAGCAACAGCAGCAGCAACCTTTTCGCATTGGCATTTGTTTGGTATCAGGCAGCGAGGTTTTCCCCCCCTCCCCGCGCAACCAAAAAATAGCTAAAATGTCCAGAAATGGCCAAAAGTGGCCAGATGGCAACGTATTTTAATTGAATTTCAATTGATTGCAAAAATATTCCATTTGGCGGCGGCAGACCAAAATTTCGTTTTAATTAATTAGAATTGATAACAATAACGAACTGTGCCCCACTGCCACACAGCACCACCCACCCTTTAAATAATGGATGCCTTTAATGGCTTTTGTTTGTGTAGCCAATGGGGTCAGGGGCGGGGGCAGGAATCAAGATTCACTTGTTATATTATATATTTAGAATCCAAGGCCAAGTGAGGGGCCATGGGCCAGGGGCGAATATTGATTGAATGTGTCCGAGATATGGCCGAGATATGGGCTTAATCAAATTGACATTGCGGCTGGCTAATAATTCAATTAAAAAGCATGCAAGATATTCAATTAATTGCGAAATAAATTGAATATTTAAGCAATTAAAACAGATTTTTAGTTCGGTTTTTGCAGCAGCAGAGATTTTATTTTGGCTGCTAAATTGATTTAATGGCAATAAAATATAAATCCTACTGAAAGAACAGACAATAACTGACTCTCAAGTAACTTTAATATGGAATTTACCATGGAAGAGTTTATTGCCTTCAATCGGAATCGCTATCCACATTGAACATGCGCTTCATCTTTGCAATCCCCGCTGCAATTGATGTGCAGATAGACGCATCATCGTCTGCCTTGTCTATGATCTCATCTGCAGAGTCTTCCTTGTCATCTTCCATCCGTTCAGGACTTGCATCCGTATTGATATCTTCCTCTGCCTTGCGCGGATGCAGGCGCTTCTTCACTGACGATGACGCCGACGACTTGCGCTCCTCCTGGCGCAGTCGAGTTAGTTCCTGCTTGGCCAGCTGGTCCACATTCTTACAGGCCTTGTGGGTTGCATCTCCGATCACCTTTAAGCCGCCAGTTTGGGGCTTGTTTATCGTGCGATCCCGCAGTCCCTTCACATGCACCGAATCCAACTTCGGGCGAAATGTCAGCTTCTCCTCAAACAAACCTTGCGGCTGATAGCAGCTTCCATGCCGGCTGCATAGCTGTACGTTTCTTTGGGGCAGTGGCTGACGCACCACATCAAAGGACTCGGCACCCATGTGGAAGGTCTCGCTGCCATCGGACCAGAGGCGTATCTTGGCGTTCGCCTGCCTAGTGCCGTCGGCGTTAATGCGCCAGCGGACAGTGTCCCTTAAGCGGCGAATAAAGTCATTGCGTGACTGCTCATTCATGAGATCATTTTCGCTCATTACTTGCTGAAAAGTATTTTGATTGTAGGCCGCAGTCTCGACGTAAGTGTAGCGCGGCATCTTCTGCAAAACCGGTTGACCCTCCGCCTCAGAACGTGGCGGTGGCAAAGTTGCATGAAATTTTACAATTAACTCTTGTGCCAGCGGCTCTAAATATATATAGAGAGGAATAGAGTAGAGTTTTTATCCCGTACGAGTATAGAGAGTGAAAAGGGTATTGAATCTTACCGCTGTTCATTGGCGCAGCACTAAGAGAGGGACTTTGTGGCTTTGGAGTACCCTCAGCATCAATTTCCCTGATATTATCAACATCTGCAAAGATGATCTTACTCTTAATTGTAGAGGGTTTTGCATAATTAATACTCCTACATACCAGTCGAACAATCAATGAGCTCTGCCATGTCGTCCATTTTATTTTCTCTAAGATATTTAATTCGCAGATCTTTTGCCTTTCAACAAATTTTAATTTGCTTTAATTCTTTTGCATTTGACAGGAATGACACATTACTTTTTGTGCGATATTCAGTCGATAGTTGGAAATGATTCGATAGCAGATTAAGCATGCAGTAAGGGTACTCTTGCAAGTGTTTAAGGGCTGAATAAATATGTTTAATAATAAATACAATTAATGCATTTCCCGTACCAGCTGTTAATTAATTAAACGATTTACCTCTCTCGCTCTTTAAAGTTGCTCCATCCATTGCCCTAATTAGTCGGGGGCGTGGCTACATGGTCGCACATATTAGCAGACGGCATAGAAATTTGCTTAAGGGCACACGGCAAAATGGCACTGTGATTGGAGCAGTCCTTTCCACTCCAATCCGAAACACCATTCTCTGTGTGTGAGCCTGCCAAACCATGCAACATTCCGATGCCCCAAAGCAATTAGTGGAGGGAGCAGACCATGCCCCGCACCCGCCCCCGCCCCAACCAGCAACAGCTGAACTGCTTCAGTGGCAGCTGGGTGGCTCTCTGATTTTGATTGTAGCACCTGCGGCCTGGACAGCGGAATGGTGCAAGCTGCTCTTTGATCAGAGGAGCACTTGGTATTTGACAATTCACCCCAATGCACCGCATGGCCCTTGGGCTGAGGAGAGCTGAGCTCTCTGGGGCTGTAGCTCCCAAAAGACAGAGTGTATACCGCCTGCATGTTGCCTATAGAAATATATTTTCTGCCTGCATATTTTTCCCGAGTCTTTTTCTTCCGCAAGGGCGGCTTTGGCGATGTTCGAAGCACAAAAGAAGCTCACTATAATCCGTAACCAGGAACCAGCAACCAGGAACTGTATCTGCATCTGTGTGCAATGCATTCGAATGTATCCAAGATACGCCTTAGCTGGTGTTACGTGGCCATAAACTAAACTGTCACCAATCTTCGGGGGATGGGCGGTGTTAGAGCGAATTGAGCATGCCACACGACAAGGCCTGTACGAGCCTGTAGGCCAAATATCCTGCTGCACACATATTTGCCGACAAGCTTGGCCAACTACAAGCGAATGAATGGGGGGAGCCAGGTTGTGGGGCTAAGTCGAGGCCAGAGACAAAGAGAGAGAGAGAGAGAGAGAGAGGGAGAGGGTCCTGGGCATGTGTCAGCCCTTTGTGCTAATGCAATTTAGTGTCTCCTGCAACAAATGAACCTTGATTATGTGTTTATTAGACACCAATTTACGCCTGCTGCAGCAATGTTGCAGCTTGCAATGATGCAACAATACCACTGCCCCATGCCGCATGCCTTATCTGCTGCTCGAAGGCATGTATTTAAATGCCACACCATTGTCATAAGTATTTGCTGGTCGGCTAATCACATTGATGCCTGGGCCAAAATGTAAATGAATTTTTGCCTGCTAGCCATATATCGGTCTCTCGGTCTCTCGGTCTCTTGGTCTCAAATTAATGCCAAACTACGAGTATCTGTGTGTCAAACTGCCTCTCAATCTGACTGCTTGTCAGGTTATATTCCATGCCAATTAGTCTGATAATTCTAATCAAAGAGTGTGTCGTGCTGTGTCGATTGGAGGGGGGGGGCTGTGGAATGACTTCAGCATGGCTACACAGGCTTGATTTAATGATAATCAATTTGATTATAATGTCACAAAATATTGTTTATCCCGGCGGCTGTTTAAAATTAATTAATTCGAGGTTTATGCCACACTAAAAACAAAAGAAATAATAATCAAATCCAATGAGGAACACATACGAGTGTGTATGTATGTATTTGTGCATATTTAACGATGGAACCCCTTGGAAGAATAGTGCCACTAACCCAAAGAGTCTCGACTTAATGGCCATCCTACTGCAGCCGCAGGGGCAGAGTGAGGAATTGGAGCTTGCCCAAAAGCAAACACAATTACACTCACGCACTTAAATTTATTTACAGGCCATAAAGTAGACACTCGTGCCATATAGTGTCTCCTGTTAGTTTACATACCTCAAAGGCATTAATTATTTATGAAACTGAGACAACCAGCACGATACACAGAGACAGAGATGGAGTGAGAGTGAGAGTTAGGGAGATAGATAGAGAGAGACAGAGGAATGTCTATAAAATTACAAGCAAATGACCGTAAACACGAAAGGTTTTGAAATTCAAGCAAGTGAATGCCGTGACAACCGTTGTCCAACAGTAATTAAAGGCTATAATAAAGCTAACATTACAAAGCAGAAAGAAAGAGAGGGAATAGGGTTAGCGAGAGAGAGAGAGAGAGAGAGAGGGCGGGGGGAGAGAGATGGAGACACATGTCAGTTGTCAACGCAGCAATTTGACAGGAGCCCAGCATACATACCAGAAGGGTAAGGGGAATGGACCACAAAAACGGAGCCAAATGCTGACCGAGACAAACCATTAGAGCAGGATAAAAGCAAACTACACATATACATATGTACATACATATATGCACATTGTACAGTGCATTACGGCACAATAAGGCAATGGGGAAATTATAGGAAATGTTATAATGAACATGAAGATATGAGAGAGAGAGAAAGAGATATGAGAGCTGCGAAAATCAGTTTAAATATTCCGAAGTTTTTCCATTGAATTATGAATCGCTGTATTGCTATGCAACGCACTGTATCATCTCCTCCAATGGTATATGCCACATGTGGCAGCTTCAGATGTTTCAGATACTTGTATTCTTGAGCACTTTGGCTTTGTGGATTTTATGTCTTGCGGCCGGCATTATAAAATTAGTGACATCGTCTAAATGTGGTAAGTGGACAACGTATATCGTAGAAGGGGGTGTGGAGTGTGTGGAGGGTGTAGGTATATAGCAGCGAGTTTTCTGTGTACACCCTTAGGGCAACCGCACAAAGAACATTTGTTTGAAATTTTACACACAGCTTTAAATCGCAATTACGCCCACAAACTTAATGGTTAAGTGTGTGTGTGTGTGTTTGTGTTGTGTGTGTGTGCTGTGTGTTTGTGTGGCCAATATTTGTTTAAATCAATAAAACGCTAAGCGTAGCGAAACTTGCATTTAATTGGAACATATACATAGATAAATGATTTTAATGGCATTTTCTTGTATAATCGCCAAATGTTTCCACACTTTCTCTTGTTCACTCTCTCTCTCTCTCTCTCTCTCTGTCTCTCTTTGATTGAATTTCGAGTGCGTTTTAGTGTCATTAGTTAAATATTCATTAGCAAGCATTCATAAATAGCTCAACACTTAAAGCGTATCCACATCCCACATGGCATTTAAGCGCTTCGATTTTCTCTCGTTTGATTGCAGCCATCATTAATTGTTGGCCATTCATTGAGTCATAATGTCTGATATTAATATCAATAATTGATATGTTTGCGTTTAGGCTATTATATTAATTAATTGAAAGGCATTAACCAATTCATAAAATCTAAGAAAATCAAAGAAAATACAAGAAAATCAAAGAAAATTCAAGATAGTCCAAGAAATTGAGCTGTTTAAATTTTAGTAGGCGAATATATATTTTCTTTGATATTAGTTTATGAAATAATTTATGTTTCCGGACAATGATTGGCTGAAGCTTCAGGCAGAAATGCAACTCCAACCGAGGGTCTGTTCGCAGCCCATTTTCTCTCTCTCTTTTATATATCTAGCTGCCTTCAACATTCGTTAGAGTGTATCTGTTTAAGAACTATTGCCCCCTATACTCCTGGTAGATCCCTTGATTTCCGAGTTAATCTAATGATACTCCCTCTACTCCATCATCTTTATTCTCAGCAGTCGCCTAATAAACTGCAATTATGCGAAAGCCACAAAATGATGAAAGAACATTAGGTTACATAGCACGCTTGGGCAGGATGTCCATCCTGGCCATCCTGTCTGTCTGTCTGTCCATCTGTCTGTGGGGGCACATTGCTCATTTTAATGGCCGTCGAGAAATGAACTTTTGCCACGTGATTTGGCATACATCCTGCCACATCCTGGCCCTGTCAGTCCCAACCTGTGTTCCCAGAGCCAGAGTCACATCAATAGATAATTTTTCATAATTAATGCGTATGTCAGAACGTGGTTGCCCCTGTGTGTCCCACACACACACACACAGAGACGCTTTGAGGTTGAATGAACATAAAATGTGCCACAGAAATGAAACATTTTGTGTGTTGATTGTTGTCGAGGTTTTCTATGGTATTTTCAAACGGCAAATCAGTTCATTCTGCTTCATTTTCTTGGAAAATTGCAGGCCTTTTCTTTGCATTTTGCATAAGTATTTTTAATGTATTAAGCCAATTAAGGCACTGACAGACAGTCTGTTAAATGTGTTAAGCTGTTGTCCAGCAGGACCAGGACGTCCTGTCGTGTGCTGTGCTGTGCTGTCCTGTCCTGTCCTTTTGCTCTGCTCGACCTACAACAAGATTAATTTGGGTGCAAACTGTCTGCTGTGTGTGTGTGTGTTTCATTAAACAGATTTGGTTTTATTTACTTATACACTTAAAATAGATGGCTAAATATTTTCATCAGAGCTTCGAGCTCTGGGTTAGAAAATTTAATTGAAATTCCTTTGGCCATGTCCCATCCGTGTCCTATGCGTTCCGTCTGCCTCCTTGAGGTGACAATTTAAGCACGCTCAATGCCATCAGATAATGACGTTGATTGTGGCATCTTCTTGGTCGTTTTCGCTTCCCCTGTTCTGTTCTGCCCTGTCCTGCTCTGCTTTCGTTTCGTTTCGCTTTGCATCCATCTAGCTATTCATCCATCTATCCATCCATCCATCCATCAATCGCAGGCAAAGGCAAAGGCACTGGCACAGGCACAGACGACTGCTTCCTGGGCCTTCCTTACAGCCTGCTGCTAGTATATAGAGTAGCAGCCATGCCGCATCTCGTGTTGAGATGTTGCCGTTGTTGTCCTCATCCTTCCTTCGCCTTTGTTGTCCCCATGCTCGTCCCTCTCGTTCCCCCATCGTTTGCTCTTGCCAGTCC